ATAAATAATACTACGCGAAATGTGAATGTTACAAATAGAATTAATCATGTGTTATACTATTTAATTAGATGTTACACATTCTATAAAGTAATTATATCACGTTAAATTGTTACAGTGTAATTTTGGAGGATCTATACCAATTTGAGATTTCAGAGATTATTGATTGTTGGATTATTAGCCATAGAATTGTGTCCAAATTAAAATTAGCTTGCAAGATAATAGGGTGTAGTATTTTCAGGTGATTGATTACAATAGAGACAATTAAGATTGAGTTGGGAAAGGTTCTGAAATATTAGTATCAATGCCTGAAAAATCAATTGTAGGGAGAGTTAATGTGGATTGAGATATTGGGCATGTTGTCTTGTGCTTATTTTTTTCTGAGCTTGAATCTACACCATAGTATGTGCAAGTTTTAGGGATGGGAAATTTTTCAAATGATTGTTTCCAGTATTTCTCAGAGTGTTTCAACCCTTAATCTGATTTATAATATTTAATATGCCAATTTGCCATTTGACGAACTGCATTTTCCCCAATGTCTTCTCTCAATTCAGAAATGATTCCATACAATAATTTGAAATCACTTCTTGAATACAAAATAACACTTTTTGATTGTGGGCCATTTCTTCCTCCTCTCCCACTTTCTTGAATATATTGACCAAGACTCAAAGGAAAATTGAAATGGATTATGAGGTATACATTTGGGGTATTTATACCCATTCCAAATGCATTTGTTGCTATGATTATTTTAGTTACTCCAGTTTTCCATTTCATTAATGACATACGTTTTTCTTCTCCAGATAAATTTCCATGATAAAGACCAATCTCATGATTTGAAATTTCATTTGCTATATAAGTTTTCAGCTCTTCACAAATTTTAGGTGATGCACAATACACTATACATCTTCCAACAAGGTTTTTGCTGATTTCCTCAACAACCTGATTGTAGCTAGTATTTTTTTTCCTTTTTTTTTTTTGAGGATGAGCAAATGATGATGATCTAATTACAGTAAGATCATTCCATTCCATTTTCTTTTTTTATGTTTATTTTGAATGACATCATGCCATAAAGCGACTTGTTTTTTTGTTTCTTCAGAAAACTTTGCTGGAAAATTTATTTTTCTATTGAAATAGTTTTCTCTGTAAAAAATTTGTGAGTGTTGGCTTTTTATTGATTTGAAAAAAAAATGACGATTATGTTGCCCATTTATAATATCCAAAATATGCAAGTATCACTAAGAGTATGATTAACCAAATTAGGCTAAGTAAGATTCCCCAAAAGAAATAAGTAAAAAGAGAAGCCAATAATAAAATAACCAAAAGGGGTGAACAACAACAGAGAAGCACATAATAGCCGATTTTTGTCATTTTCAGAAATTGTTGCACTGACCATCATTATTGAGGAGTTATGGAAATCTCTCTTAAGTATCTCTGCCACTCCATTCCAAGCATTTCGAAAATATTGGTGCTCTAAGACACAGTGGACCTCATCAATGACAAATTGAACTTTTGAGGTTTATGAATTCCAGAGTGAACTAATTCCTGATCCTCAATTAATGCTTTCAGAGGGCTAAATACAATTGGTAATACCACCAATTAAGGATACCGGCTGCAACTTTTGATGATGGTTGCTACCATCTTTGCGTCATATAAAAATGATTGCAACCACTGGTTGCAACCACCTTTACGACCATTTTGTTTCCTTTTTTGGATTGCGACATGGAACACTACCACCAATAAGTAAAGATCCAATTGAATAACACAAACTTTTTCCTTTTCCAGTTGGAAATAATACTAAAGTATCCCCGTTGTTTGCAAAATTTTCTATAGCTTCCTGTTAACCCTCTTGAAAGTTTTCATACCCAAAAATGGTTTGTAGTGCAAAAAATGAGGGAGATACTGATGGTGTTGAAAGTAATTTGGTAGTGATGAGATTATTATTGAAAATTTTACCATGTTTTTGTTGTGAAAAAAAGAAGTTGCAAACTTTACAGTACTATTTCCAGCCCTGTCTACAACTTCAAATCCTTGGTCAAATGCCAAAATTGTCATTCTTTTCCTAAAAATAATCCCAATGGTAAAAATCCGCTTCCGGAAAAAAAAATATTTTTCCTTTTTATTTTTATTTTTATTTTTTTTTGTAGATTTTCCATATGCATAAAAAAAAATTACCAAAATTTAATATATATATATATATATACGGTGCAGATCATCTATAATCATTAATTGCTTATAGTAACAATTGGCCAACTTCAAAATACTAAAACAAAAAAAA